CCTCTGTGACTATTACACACTTAAGACAGGAACACTGGTTTCGACTTTGAGGCTGCACAGTGCATGAAAAGTATTAAGATATTAGAAGCTACAGTCTGTGTTCCAGTGAGCCATCACCGTTGGCTCTGTACTAGTGGATCTCAAGACATTTGAATGATATGAAGGTCATTTGTATGTGATTTTGATGATCATTGCTGATAGGAAACGAAAACAAGAATCGAATGTGTCAATTTATTCAAGCATGTTACGGTTTGATTGTCAGGTTTGGGGTTTTCGTTCTTGTCTTCTCTCTCATCCTAAGAGTCTGTCTCTGAGTCTGTCCAAAGAGTTTGAATCCCCGATCGGTAAAGAGAAGGACAATGCAGTAACGTACCTGCCTGCCCACTCTCTACACTGTTAGTATCTGGAGTTTGCAAACCTGCCCACTCTTTGGTGACCTGTTCAAAGGGACGAGCCTGAGGCCCGCGAGGAACTATTTCACAGAACCTGGATGATTGAGGATGCGTCAAGATCATTTCACTGAGATTAAGAATTGATCATGAACTCTGTGAACATACTAAAGAACTAGCCCTGACCTATTCTTCCATTCATTCTGCACTGTAAGCGTTGGATCCCTGATCATGGTTTTTAAGATATCGAATGCTTCCGCAGTCCTCCAGGCCCTAGTAAACCATATGTATTACAGTCTTTTTGTGTTTGTATACGTTGATGATATTCTCATCTTCTCTAAGGAGCAGTATTGTGAGCATGTAAGGCTGGTTTGTATCAGCATGTGTGAAGGCAGAAAAGTGTGTTTTCACACTGTTGCTTTGCATGAACAGCAGATGTAGACAATGCCTTCATGAAACTGAGACAGCTACTCTCCTATTTTGATCCAACCTGACTCACACAGACAGTTTGTGGAGTTACACACTTGTGACTGTGGGGCAGTGCAATCCTTTCCCAGTGTGGTGACCCACATGGTCAGTGCCACCCATGTTCTTTCTTCTCCTATGATTTGTCCTCCACTGAGCAGAATTATGACTCAGGTAAACTTAAGCTCCTGGCATTTACGTTAGCTGTGCAGACCCCCTTTGGAGGGGGGCAAAGAGCCTTTTGTTTGTACAAATGATCAGTTATCTAATATTGAACACATTTTTAAATGAATTTTATAACATTTGTACTGATCAGCAAATCTATTGTATTTTTAACAAATTATTACATCTTAGAATTTTTGTTATTTTTAACATCTTTGCATGTTATTTTAGTTTGTTTTAGTTCATTTCCACTCGCATCAAAGGATTTAAATAAATGACAAACATGTTCCATGTACCTCAGTCACTAAATCTGTTCTCAAACTCCCAAAAATGGAGGAAACAGTTTCATGATCATTAATATGCAAACTGCCATGACTGTTGCTCAACAGCCATTGATCAACAACCACTGATCAATAACCATGAGTCCCATTCACAGAGAGTTGAATGGCTGCAATCACAGCATTGTAAGATGGAGACAGATGTACCCTTAGGCCCCTCCTCCATTCAGAGATGGTCTTTCCCTCCTTGACTCCGCCCTCAAACCAGCGTTCCTCCATGTCCAGGATGTTACATCCTCAGTGTCCACTGGCCTGTGGGTGTAAACAGACTGCAGAGTCCTGGCCTGACTAGGCGGCTCTTCTGTGTTGTGCCATCCTCTTAGCCAGAGGTTGTTTGGTTTCCTCGATGTATAAATCACAGCAATCCTCCAGTGTACACTGTGCTGTTTGTGCAGGCAGACCCGATTCTTGGGGTCGAGGCCCCAAATGGGAGCATTGCCATTAAGAAGCACTGTCATTCAGCACTGACTGCATGGAGGGAAAGTGCAGGACTGTAAATGTACGGAAAAATGTTCTTCTGAGCTTCAAATGCATTTATGGTACTTATCATGTCAGCAACTGTCTTACCTTTTGATTGACAGTTCAAATGGATCAGGACCCAATGATATCAGTTAAAAATGCAAGGTCAAGCATCCACTCAGTGTCCTTGAGATGTCTTTCCCTTTGGTCTGCATGAACTGCATGATTTCACCCAAAAGTGACAAAAAATGACATACGCCCATCCCCTGCTTAGTCATCAGATCTCTCTGTGTAGTAACAGGTCGGCTGAAAGTTCCTCCAATAGGACGCCTGCTGGTGAATGGTGCAGTGGTTAGGCAGACATTTTGGCAAGTCTGTGTTACTATTGCATTGAGCAACGAAGCCTGCATGTCAGCATGTCATGGTGCATGCCCCGTGAGTAGTCTCCACCAGCTTTTTTAATGGTAGCTTGTTCTCCATGAAGAGCCTCTTCACTGCATGCAGATGTCGACTCCCTCTGTTGTCTTTAGGGGCAGTAGTGTGAAATCATCAAGCACCATTTGACATGATCATCTGCGATGTACTGCTGCTGTCCACTCATCGTGCTGGATGTTGATCAGATCCTGGGCAAGTTCTCAGATATAGCTGACACTCTTCTCACCACTGTACTCGCCCCCAGTTACACATATTTATGTAATTGATATTAGGACCATTCTTCTCAAGTGTTTGAACAGAGTGTTTGCAATTATTATCACTGTGCCCTCCAAAATCTCTTTGCAGCTCTGAATGAAGCTTCAGTTGCTTTTGTGACTTTTCACTAGCTTGTAAAAAAAAAAGACTTCTGGTTGCCCAAAGCTGCCTTTAATTCGTCGACCGGCTCATGATGGTGGGTAGTTAGCATGGAGGCTTGCATGAAGTGCACTGAAGTGTCTCTCCACTTTGTGCCGCTTTGCTGTCGCCACAGTTGCCCCCAGTGCTGGGGAGTAATTGAATACATGTACCAGCGTTATGTATTTAAAATACGAAATATGAGTAACTGTATTTCGTTACAGTTACCGTTTAAAAAGGTGGTATTTAGAATACAGTTACTTTGTTGGGATAAATGGATTACACGACGGTCTTTTCCTGTTTCATGTTCGGCTATGGCCTCTCTATTTTTGGTAATTCCACGCCGGTGGAAACCCAAGCGAAACGCAGTAAGAGGCTCAATGCCTGTGTCTCAATGTCACGGCCCATGTCACCTCTACTTGCAGCCGCATAATGAACTGAAGAAATATTTTAAAAAAATT